ATGTCTTGGTTCTATCATGACATCTTGTTTTTTACATTACCTTCTTTCTGTCCTAGACACTTCACCCAGGCTCTCGGAAAAGTCTCACTCCTCAATCAGAGTGCTTTACACACTCGGATTGAACAAAATATTGCTGTGTTTAGTAGTTCAGATTCAGGGGTCCTTTCATGAATGTTTAGAAGCATTAATATAGTAGAGTGGGAAAACTCCCTCCATACACCTAGTCTATTACATTTTCCTGGCAGAGAAAATGTTGGCATGTCACACTGCTGTATACTTCCTAGCCATCCAGTATAGTCTGCATATGTAGTACCTACACGTGTGTTTAATATATGCTTGCACAAAGAATATTGTTATTTCCTGTGCATTTTATCTGATCCTTATCAGGAAGAAAAAAACCTAGTGGACTGAAATTTGGAATGAAAAGTCAAATGAGTGTAGATCCGTTACTTGGATCCTAATGACACATTGTCTGTTGTTTTAGAATATATGCATTCAGAAGATCAAGCTATTAGAGAAAAATTCTTCATCCTGAAAAAAACAGGCTTATCACTGAATCAGGAAGTGCCAGTAATGTCTCCTCTGGGATGCTTGTTTTTAAATTGCCTTTTGGGAGGCTTTTATGACTGCATCCACATCAGTGCTGTGATTCAGAGCAGTGATGCAGCTTTGAAGCAAATCCCCCAGACTGTCCCACTTACTGTGCAGTGGTTCAGTTTGCAGAGTGGTTTTGCAGTACATAAGCTGTTTGGAGAAAACTAAACTGGAAGCTTTGATCCAGGCATGTGCCAAATGTTCTCCAACTCCTATTACAGGAATAAGAGGCCAAACCAATGACTAGACCTCCAGAAAGCTTGGAATCACACTCTGAGATATTTCAGTTCAGGGATTCAGGCTAAATCAAGTTTAAAACAATCTCTACCTCCCCTGTAGTGCATATAAAGAAGCCTTAGCATCAACTACTCCAACCTATTGATCTGCTCCTGTGGCTGCAGCTGCCTTGAGAAAGTAGATGTAGCCTATGACATCTTGAAAGTATTCCAGACTTTACAAATGTTGTCTGTGTTGTGTTAGTTGTTTTTCACTTCTCTGTTGCTTGGATCTGGTGCAAATATTCTTAAATGAATTTTAAACGATCTGAGCTTGTGCCCATAATTTTTTTTTTGTTTTGTTGCAAAATTTAGGATCAACTTAGCTTTTTTTCCCCAAAAAGATCATACTGCCTTGTAAAGCTGTTGGGCAATTCTTGAATTACGTTTTTCAGCTTCATTGAAGCTGTTCTTTATGGTGATACTTAAGAAGACAATATAATTCCTGCTCTCTAAAAAGGTGAAAACAGATTGCAAGAAAGAAGTTTTTCACAACACTTTTGTCTTTAGGTCTTCAAAACTCTGATATTGCCTTACAGTTGAAAGCAATCAGCTCCCAAGACAACATTATGCCAGTGGGCACCAAAACTTATGATCAAGTGAAAGCAAGTTGTGATATTCCTATCTTCTGGTAGAACATGTTTGCTTTTACAGATTATTTAAATTGTGATTTTTAACTTAGATATTCATCTCTTTTGTATGTTTTTCCTTACGTGCTTGGCCTCATTAACCCGTCCGGTTGACCTGCATCATTCTCGTGTTGACAAAGATAGGTGTTATGAACCTTAGAATGTCATAAACACCTTGAAAATGTGACCCTACTTGCGTGCAGTGGGGAAGGTTTGACAGCATTACACCAGTCATCTGATAAGCTCGGGTCAAAAGTCTTCCAATTGCTTGCCTTTTGTTTGGGTGTCAAGGAGGCAAAAGCTTTTCATGTTTTTAATAAGCAAATTAATGAAATACTTACAGTACATTGCATATATTAACTCTTAGGTAGCTAGTTTTCTTCTGGGCCCATCTCTCCAAAGGTCAGAGGCCATAAATGCAGTTTCAGTTTTGCAGGAAACAAAGAGGACAGTATATTTCAGTAATCCTTTCCTGCATGTACTTAAGATTCCCTTTCTTTCTCCACTTTGGCTTACTTTCTAGAGGCATAGTAACACTTGCCAGCTAAGCCAGATGTAGCATTTCAACCAAAAAAAATGCACCGGATGCACGTTCCAAGTTTGCCAATGGCTATGCATGAGGCTGGAATGTCAGAGCAGGAGCGGCGGATTAGGAAGATAGTGTTCATGTTACTCAAAGCAAAAGGAGCCCAGAAAACGTCTCTGCTATTTTACTGTTTCAGTCACTTTTTCTTCATAGATATAACATGTTTGTTTGGTAACAGTTTCATGTTCCTCACAATCACTCATTATAGTGTTGCTTACATTTTCAAGATATTAACCAAATAGTCCTCATATGTACGCTCTCTGGTAGTTTAGAAAGTCTGATTATTATTTTTTCCTCTAATACAGAGAAAATAAAAAGACATTTGCTTACCTAAGGTGCCATTAAGACCAATACAAGCTATCTTTATAATGTCCCTGGTTTTCCTTTCTTCTCCAGACAAATATACGGTTTCTTAATTTTTCTGAGCTAAAACTGATTTCATGTCAAATAGCTATTAATCATGCACCTTTGGCTGGGAATGATCATCTACCTGTTACTTTCCTGTGGGCTCAGATGACCCGGTATAACTGTGCGATGGAAAAAAGCTAAGCTCCACCTTATTTGCCACAACTCGGTGGTGGCTTTTCTAGCTTGCATTTTATGCTGATTTAAACCATTATTGTGTTGTCTCCTATCTAACACTTCCTATTTTTCACCCTCAGACACAAAAGCATGCTGCACAAATGGGTGAGCACCTTCAGGCTCCCTTTGCAGGTAGGGGAACCAAGGACAAGAAGTTAACTGAAAACCAGGGAAATATGGTTCCTGCTGGGAGCTTTAGCAGAGGGACTTTCATTGACTTCCAGACTAGACATAGAAACCTGAACTTCCGTCTCCTAAGGCAGTTGAGAGTCCTCATGTTAGCAGAACATCAGTAGATGTTACATTTACTAGACACTATCTCAGTCAGGTTATGCTTGCTGTCATTTGAAGTGTATGTTTTTGCTTGTCTGGAAATGCTTCTTAGATGGTCTCTGGTGCTTTAATGCTACAGTCAAATCATTGCATGCTATAAATGTAGTTCAAGATGTGTTTTACTGAAATTCATTGGATGCCGTGAATTTCTGTGAGGTAGGTTGCTGGAAGTAATCAAAGCTACTGAAACAAATTGACTTTTTAGACCTGTGGTCAGGGTAGAAAATCAGCTCTTCTCTTAAGTACACTACTGACAAGAAGAAAAGGGCTAAGTCAATAGAATATTCAAGAAGGAGAAAGATACCCTTTCTTGCATGTAACTGAAAGCCTGTAAGAATCTTTAAGAGATGTTCATCCTCTCATTTCATACAGGTTTCACTCTTAACATCCAAATCAGCAGCTACAGACTGTTTCTATTGCCAACTAAAGTAACTAGTGCCTGGAATGTTAAAAATACAGCAAAACCCCATAAAATGAGACAAGAAGCTGTAAAACACTGGCTAGAATAAGCTCTTCCTGCAGTGGGCTGTCCAGTCCAGGCTAAACTGGAGCCTGCATTTTGGGAAGTGTCTACCTTTAACCCAGGTCAGGCCAAAGCACTTCATTCTCTAAGGTTCCATCTAAAGATCCATGCACAAATATTCCACAATTTACTAGTGGAAAGACATCTAAGTTATATAAAAGACATAAGAAGTACAACCATGAGATGATTTTATCCCCTTTGCACTGGTTGGACTGCTTTCCAAAATGCAGGGAAAACTGCCTTATTAACAAAAGCTATTAAAGTAATCTAAACATCACATTAAGCTTTGCTTGCGCAGCAGTAGACACAATAAGAAAGACATATTACAGTCATTTAGATGCAAGATAATTTACTATTTTTAAGATCTTATAGCATCCTTGCTCCAAATTCTTTTCTTTTACTCTTTGCTGTTTCTGAATATTTTGTCCCCTCCCCAGCTCTGATTGCTGAAAAGCATAACCACTTTTTAGCTGGAAAACCTAACTCAGAGTACATGCCAGTTCTCTGCTATCAAACTGGGTGGTCATGTCAGTAAGGATCTTACAAGGGTTTATCCTAAGCCTGGTGTGTTCAATATTCCCTAACCTCTAGGACTGTGCAACAGAGCATGCCCTTATCAAGCTTGCGGATGGCACCGAGCTGCCAGGGTGTGAGCACTTTTGGAATAGGATTAGAATTCAAAATGATTCTATTAAAGAGGAGAAGTGACCTGCAATTCAATAAAGACAACTTGAAAGTACTACAATAAAAAGGGGGAAAGCCAGAAGCTACTACTGGTGTTCTGCAGAAGAGAAGTGAGGGATTAGAGCTGGACCACTGACTGAACATAAGTCAACAGTATGATGCTATTCCATCCCAAGATGAAATGGGAGCATGGCATGTATTTCCACTCCTCTGGTGAGAGTTTGGCTGCAGTTTTGAGTCCAACATTAGGCACCGCACTTCAAGAAGCAGACAAATCAGAGAGAGTCCAGAGGACAGCAACCAAAAGGATGAGAGGTTTAGAAAAAGTGACCTATGAGGAAAGGTTGAAAGAACTTGGTTTGTTTAGTCTAGAAAAGAGAAGACTGAGGAGGTACATGATAACAGACTTCAAATATTTAAATGGTTGTTATAAAGAGGAAGAGGATCAATTATTCATGTCCACTAAGAATTGGACAAGAAATTAGGGATGGCTTTAATTTGCAAGAGGAGGATTCCAGTTAGAAAGCTTTCTGGCTGTGCTGGAGCACATTAGCAGTTTCCACAGCCTCCCTGGGTATTAAAGGTTTGTAAGCATGGGTTGAACAAACTTTGTGAGGATGGTTTAGATCTGCTTCTGCCTCAAAGCAGTGCTTAGGACAAACAACTCCTTAAAGCCCTTCCTGGCCTTATTCCTATGGTGTGTAATATAGATTTGCATTGTACACTTAATATTTGGTTATACAAGTGCTAAATTATGATCTGAAAGCATATTCATTCCTTTCTTACGTTTCCAGGTATGTGATGTAGTGATAGTGAGGAAATATCTGGACTCTGCTATTTGCTAAGAGAGAATTGCACAAGAGTCTTAAAAATCATTTCTCTAAATGCAACATTGGAAAACCAGAACTCATGCCTGACCTCATTCGACAGCTGCTATGGCCCTTATAAAGGGATTAACAACCTGGACATAAAACAAAGGTTATTGCCAGTCATTATGGTGTGATACTGCTCAACACAATTAGGACACATCACAAGTCTACATGGAGCTATGCCTGAGTGGAGGAATACAGAGAAAAATGGTGATTTACCAATCTCTGTGAAGAAGCCCTGATGCTGTGTTTAAGGGGAAGCTACAGAAGGAGAGAAACTGGAGGCCACTAATACTGCAGTGTGAAACCATGGCAGAAAACATCTACCTGACACCAAAAATGTCCATCACTTTTCCCCCCCAAAAAACCCCAACCCAGAATGTATGCTTCCTTTTTTTGGTACTATGTACATTATCTATCTGTCCTCATGGGATCCTTTAGGTCTGCAAAATGTGTCTGCATGATGCAGGGATGATCAATAAGGAAAGCTGAGTCCTGACCCTGGCAGGGTTTCTGACTCTGAACATCTCAGACGACGCCTCCCAGCCCAGACGAGATCTGCTTCTGTGCTGAGTAAGGAGGAGCTTTGGTAGCTTGAGCCTCCTCACCAGGATTTAGCAACTTTTACTCTTCAGAGACACATGCAAAGAGACAAAACGATGATTATACTGCATGATAAGTATAAAGAAATGATACCATTGTAATATTACTGGTTATTTTTCATAGTAATTTAGAGGTGAGCCCATGTGTTTCAATGATGAAAGAATGGGTTAACTTATAATATGCTAAGTTCTTTTCATTAGTTGATTAATTTTTCACTTAAATTCTAAAAAAGTCATTATTTCATGTTTAAGCTTTCACTTCCACCTCCTTTTGTAGTGCTTTTCTTAATTACCTGCAGTAATTTGCATCAGCAAGAAACTAAGAATGCTTTGCATGTCTTTAGTGTCTTCCCTCCTCTTTAGCTATTGATGTAGCTGCACAGAGAGAGCTCAGCACTGCAGCATCTGGCATTTTGAATCACTATTATAAACATTAATTAAATAAACCTCTCGATACTTCTGACAGGTGACGAGAGCTGCTGACTTCTGATGAGAGCTCTGGTGCCCATTTTGCAGGTAGAGCAACTAAAGGTGCATTTGAACTGTGAGATTTGTGGATATTTCCCAGCTTTCAGGGTCCAGGTGCATGCCTTGGCCACATCCCAAACCTGTGCTGGGGCAAAAGCTCTCCCCATGGATCTTGGTTTCCTTAGGAAGGAGACCTGAGTGCTCAGACGGGGAGGGCTGGCTAGCACAGCAAGGTGTTGAGTCAGGCCTGTGGGTTGCACTGCAACGTGTTATCCGAACAGTCTAGACATAACCGAGGCAAGTTAATGGATGTGAAGGAGACTTATAGTGGTTCTGCATTAAAGGTGGGAGCAGATGAAAAAAGATCTTGGCTTCCTTGTCACACACTTCCTTCCATTATTTAACTATTGGGATGACCACACTGGTTTTGCACATTTAACAAGTCCAATGTAAACAAGATCCTTTCCCCCCATTTTCAACAACTTGGAGATGTTTTATTTCCAGGGGTTTACAAAGGCAAATATAGAATTCAAATAAAACCACAGCAGTGAGTGCATAGAATAATAGTCTCGCTTCATTTTGGAGCAGAGCTTGGAAAATGTGGATACAACCTAAACTAGTAGAAAAGTGCAGCACATTCTCTCCCTCTTTATAGCTGTTTTAAGCAAAGGCCACAGGTAGCAGAGTCTTTTCAAGCCCATCTACTTGCTGTGCAGAAGGAAGAAGCTGGAAGATGGCTTTCAAAACTGCAGCATCTCAGCGTTGCCGGATGCACGTTCTTGCTTTACAAACTCCAGCATGTTTTAGCAATTACTTTCTGTTTTTCCTGGATTAAGTGTCGGTTTGTCAGCCTGTGGACAATTACAATAGATAGTCACAGAGCACTGTACCAGTTACTGCACTTCAGTCAAAATACAAGGGCCTTGCCTTTCAAATTAAAAGTTACCATGGCAGTAACAGCCATTCTGTCTTTGACAGAGAACTTGCCTTTCCACACTCCTTTTTTCTTTTTTCCTCCATTTTTCCACTGTCATATTTTAGCACTGGACTACAGATTTGATAGCGAGTGAGTGGTCAGACGAGGTCCAGTGAAATCAAAGCGCATCATTTCACCGGCCTCTTCAGAAGGGCTGGATTAGCCCCATTGCCTACAGTTTAAGAATCGATCCCTATCCAGACAAGCACTTTAACACATGATAACAGTTAAGCGTGTGCTTAAGTGCTTTTCTGAATCAGGGCCCATGTAAGGAAGCACTACCAGGAAACGTTTCCAGCTAGTTCAAATGATGTCCAACGTTTCCACGTATTTGATTTCCTCTAAAATATATAAGCAAATCTCCTTCCAATATTGAAAAGTTTCACTGAATTCTTCCCTTCAAACAATTGTTTGCTCTGTTATTGATATAAAGATTGATTCAAATTGCAAAAGAAAAAATGTGTTTATGCAAATATTAAGTGCCTGAAAACTACACCACAGCTGTTTAGTTTTTGGATGAAAGTCTTGGCTTGTTGTGCAAGATTCATCAGCAACTATGAAACTTATAAAACATCTTTTGTTACATGGTTATTTCAGTGGAAATACATTCTCTAAAGCCTTGTCTTCCAGAAGAAATTCAGATTTCTCTGCATTTAACATTGTAAAAGTATGGAAAGCTTCTTGGCATATGTATTTCTTGTCAAAACGAATCTAGAATGAGATAGTGACAATGAGGAACAAAAGTTTTGGGATGATTTATGCCGTTAAAATTCTGAAGCATGGATTTGTGTCCTAATTACAGGAAAACTGCAGCTGCAGTGAGAGGGCTCAGTATGCCCGTAAGAGGTGGTCATCGAGTGCAACAAGTGGAACAGGATGATTTCATTTCATATGTAAACATTAGAGATAAGAAAGAGAAGCCTCCTATGTTGCTTTTTGTCTTTTGTTGCGTTAACTTCAGACCATGCATCATCTCTAATGAGCTTGATAAAGCATAGCAAGGAAAATGTGCCATAATTCGTCATGATTTCCATTTCAAAAGTGACAGTCAACTTCAGAAAATAGTCCATTTTGCAAGAAAAGAAAACCAGCAAATGATAATGGAAACAATATCCTCAAACGAAAGCTTACAGTCCCCTCTGGAAGTAAAAACTTCCACTCCCACTATGGAAAAGTGGGCTTGATTTTGTTAACAGTACCCAGAGATTCTCTGTGGTTCACCTCGTAAATAGAATATTAGATTTTTCTGTGTTGTCTACCTCAGAAGAAACAGCACCCCACAATTTTATTGAGTAATAAGAGCTGGTATATGGAGAAAAGCAGGATCAGCATTTTAAATTGTTAGAAAATATAACATTAGATTTAATTCTTTCCCATTAAAAAGCTATGGCCCGTGCTGCAATGGAAGGTATAAATAAACTGCTTTCAATAACAATAAAGGAGCAATCTGTATGTTTTGGGGAGCTTCTGAAGTACTTTTACTTCTTTGCATGAATACCCAAACTATACATACATACATGAATATATACTGATATCTATATATGTATGTGTGTATAGTACAGTATATTATATATATAATTTTTCTGTTTTGTGGCTGTCATCCTCTTTTAGAAATCGGTTTATATTCCCAGTACATCTGGGTGCCTTAGATGTCACAGCCTTCACCATTTCCATAGCTTACCTTTAGTCTTTAGGCTTTGAAATAATTTAGTTTCACAGGAGGTGTAAGACTTGGGTTGGAAAATAAAATGGTAGTTCCTGAGATGAGGGAAAGGGGAAGTGAGGGTGCTAGAAGTGGATGGTGCTCCGATTCCTTCACTTACCCAAACTGAATCAGTGTCCTAAAGACTCTTTAGATTTGTCCAGTGGTGTCAGATCTACCAAATATGATGTTGGTAGGCTTTAAATCTGTTTTTTTTTTCCTTTTGTATGTGTCATCTTCTGTAAGAGGGCTGACTACAGAATACTGTATTGCAAGGTGGTGAGGTGGAGGTGAATGATCTCAGCCGGAACAGGGTGTACCGGTTTGAGACCACAGAATCATGCAAGAGATGGCTTTTACAAAGCAGAAGACTGGTCAGCAGCCTATCCAAGATGGTCTCTATTTGTATCCCAAATTGGAGGTGAAATTTGCCAAGGAATTAGGACATGCTGCCTCTGAAAAAGGCAGGACGCTGCTCTCCTGGGGCACCATCTGCTAAGCATCTGAGAAGTTACACCCCACCTTAATGGGGCTCACAGGTCGTATTTGTGTTTCTGTGCATGATACAGATAAGAGCAATTCTGGTCTCTGATGATATCTCTGCTGAAGACAGAGCAGACATTCATTTTCTGTAGATACTTTAAAATCCCCAATTAAAATTAACTGTTTGGAAAACACTAGATTTTTACTGGTTGATTGATGGACTAGGGTGTCATTACAAAAATAGAAGAAACAGCAACGACTGGAGTTGAAGTGAATTTATGTGAAACTTCTAACAAAAAAATCTCCAAAAATTATACACAGGATCATTCTTATGTAGTAGTTAATTAACACGTGGAACTCGCTGCCACAAAATACAGTATCTTTGAGGCATGAGTTTAGTGGGATTAAAGGGATTTATTAAACACTTATATGGATAATGAGACCATCCGCAGTTACATTACACAGGATGAAACCATACATTAGGGATATAAACAATTATGCTTCAGGACAGAAGCCAACTACTGACTAATAGAGTTAAGGAGGAAATTCACTCCATAATTATCCAGGATTTTATGCACCTTTTCTAGAAGTTCTACTACTGGTGGTGTCATGAATGGGCTATTGCCTTGCAGGAAATGTTGGAATGCAGGAAATACAGGAAAAATAATGAAATTATGATTTCTTTTATGTTTAAATATATTTTCTTATTTTTTTCTGCTCCTATTAGTGATAATTACAGACTTTTATAAAAAAATAATTAGAGAATGGGAGACAAAAAATTAATCCAAAGCTTATTGAGGCTAATGGAACAGGCCTCTGCCTCCATCCAAATATGACCTGAACTCATCCCTTTTTCATATTTTTAAAATTAAGAGAAATAATGACATTGCTTTAGCTGTTGTTACGTTTTCTATTTGCATAATGGCATTATAGCATTTTATAATATGTATATTATGATATATAACAATAATTTCTTAAGTTTCACATTTTTGTCAGTGACTTTTCACTGCAGCCGTAGGCTCTTGATTCTAGGCTCATAGATTTCTGTGCACACTTGCTGACAGAAGACCTGAACGTATGCAGTAAATCTGATGCATCCACCCAGAGTCACAGATCTGTTGTGCGCTCACAGGGCATCACTGTACACCACGAACACTGGCCATGACTGGGACTGCCAGGTGCTGCATAGCTGTGAAATTTATGGGAATCCTAAATAAATATCCAAGGCTCGCAAATTCTGCCAAGGTGAAAGTTTTGGGTGGGGAAGAGGACATTTATGGTGAAACCCAACCTCATAGTAACCGGTTGTTACTCCTCAGCAGTATCCATCTGCATCTTCTGTTTTTTAAGGAGAGGATTCGTGGGCTCTAGGTCATCTCTGCTTGTGTTACAGGGGAAATATAGTGTCTCAAATGGCATATCAGCACATACAGGCAGAGGGCTGTGCGAATGATACATAGCTAAAAAAGCCTGTGCACCTATACCTCTGGGACCAGTATCAAAATCACTGAAGGCAGTGGAAAGACTCCAGAGAGCTCTTCTGTCAATCAGAAAACACAACTAGGACTTGAATTAAAAACAAAAAAAGCAATAATAAATAGGAACACAATGAGAGGAGCAGGTGTTCGGCATATTTGAAAGGCAGAAAAGCAAACTTTTATGTTATAGCAGTGATGCTCTGCAATGAAACTGAAGTCTGTCAACATCCAGATATGTTTCACACTGTATGTTTGGCATCACAACAGGTGGTTACTGCCAGATATACCAATGAAGAATATTCCAGATTTGTTATCTATTGCACAAAGTCTTTCCACCAGATGAATTGGC